TTGACCATATTCCTAGATTTTTTCTATGGCTTTGGTTCACTGCCATCTGGGAACGGTGCTGAAATGTGACATGGGCGTTTGATTCAGACTGTGGTGATCCGAAAAGACGCCCTTGATCGTACGATTCTGAATCGCCACGGAAATGACGAATAAAGTGAACGATCCGGATGAGACTGTTAATGTGTGACCGTGATGGAGGAATACATAAAGGTAGTCCTGAAGACTTTTTTGCCATCAGTTTTCACCCTTTTTCCTACATACCTACTTGAAGTTTTAAATTCTTAGGTTTTATTTTTTTGAATTTTTTAGTCTATTTTTCCCCATAAACCTTCATTTCTTTAAAACCTATCCTTTAATTTTTAGTCTTTTGAGTTTTTGAATTTTTAAACTTTTTCATTTTTCAAATCTATGAATTTCTAACTTAGTTAGGTGTCGATGGTGATAGGTTTGACTTTCCAGCGCGCCTATGTCACCTTACTGCAGCAGGAATCAGCCTACAAAGGTAGCACGTTCTACAAATCGGAGGACCCTGACAACAACTATAAATGGACATTTGGCAGCGCGTTCTTCTTCTCCATGAATGTGTACACGACAACGGGTTACGGTAAGCTCTAATGAGGTGCAGAATTTCGACTTATTTGGTTCTTTCATTAAGTATGGCTGTAAGGGTCAAGGCTATAGTGTATGACATGTATCGCTTCCTGCTTGGGTAGCTTTGGTTCCAGCTGGAATTTGCCCTCGAGGCTGGCCCAAGGGGTTGGAAAAACCCGAAACCGGGAATGCTAGACTAAAACTGCCAGACGAGACCAAAGCCGATGTGTTCTCCATACTGAACGAGCGGGTAGGCGGACGCTAACGGGGAATAGGTTAAAATGAGTTCATTTGTCGATCATCGATCACCTGCTTTCGGGTTGCACTTGACTGGCGTTCCAAAGGGGAAGAACACACCAGAGAATCGATTGATACCAAAAAACTCTAATTTAAGGTGCATTCTGCCCTTTACACGAAGAGGTGATTTCAATATCCTAATGGCCTACTTGGCTAAGAAAATGAGCCATGCGCGCGGTTAGTAATTCGCAGAACCCTTCACCGAGGCATTTAAAGGGATGAGGTGGGGGGGGAGTTATCAGTTCCTGAAACCGCGTCACGAGTCATCTATTTCGACGCCGTAGCAATTCGCATATCCTGACCAACACAGAGTAGAATCCCGGTAGGACTAGGGTAACCCTTGCATTGATATTTTTCAGAGATTTTATAGTACTAACCAGCACCATCAGCCTTGGCTCTCTCCCAGTACGCGCCCCCTAGCGTTAACGCTATCCTCCACACATGGCTGCCTTTACAGTAACCGATACTGAGAGGAAGTTTTTGGCACCCTCCAGACTCCAGACCCAGTGCGGTGGGCAGAGTACATCTAAAGAAAGACCATATCTTCCAGCTTCCCCTTGGGAAGACCCGTCAAACCCTAGTCCTCCTCCACCAACAAACCTAGCTTCAACTTAACAGAAACAACTCGTTCCAAAATTTCATAAATTCGATACTCTTCCTCTCGCTGATACTTGTTTCAAGGATGGTTGACCCTGGGCCGGACTCCAAAAGCTCCTCAGAGAACGAAAAATCGCCATCATCGTACCTCGGATCCTCAGAGCCCTCAGGCAGGCGATACGTGCCCAGACCACTTCGTAGAACCTTACAAACCAGCAGAAAACGAAGTTCAGATTTCTCTCTGTGAAGGCGTAATAGCGTGTGTTGCCTGAAAGCGCTCACACCGAATTTTTTAAATGAATTCTATTTACCTTTTACAGGTTCTATCGCTCCTGAATCCATCGCTGGTAGATCATGTGTGATGGTTTATGGATTCCTATTTGTCCCGCTGACCCTGGTTGTGCTACGAGACCTCGGTCAATGGGCGCTCGTCCACACCACCAAAGTCTACGCTCGCTTGCTGATCATGTTCAGGTAAATTCTGTGCCGCTCACAGTATTTGAATAGGCTATTTGAAAAGTCTCCACCTCTCATGATTAAAGGGTTGAAGGAATTGAGGGTTTTGTGAAAAAAATAAATGAAATACGAAAAACGATGAAAAAATTGCACGAAAGCTGCAATGAGCTGTTTCAGAAGAGCTCGTGGTTATGAGGAAACCAAAGACGATGAGTTGATCTCACTACCAATCAAATTCTGCATGTTCCTTATGTTGGGTAAGTTTTCTGCAGTCTCAATCGTCTCCGGGATGCGCCATGCATCCGTATTCTTGTCAGCGTCGTGGCTACAGCAAATGCAGCACTGTTTGATTGAATCCAATGTTTTCAGCCTATTTATTGTTTGCTAGTTTATTCATATACGAGTATGATGCGCTGTCAGGACCTCCTGGTTCGGGCATTGATTTCTTTCATTCGTTCTACTTCTCTTTCATATCGATGACAACAATTGGACTCGGAGATATCATGCCAAGTAACGTAACGGTAAGTGTTCGCTGTTGTATACTACTTCTGTGGGCAGAGGTGGTGCAGAGGCAAAAGCCGCCAAATATCGAGCGCAAGGTGCGAGCATCAACCCCCAGATCGATAAGCACCCATGCCAAAAATCTTTCCTCATCTCCGGGTAACTGAATTGGTGTGCCAGAATCTTCTGATGAGGGATAATAGGAAACACTGGTTTGTCACAAAACCGGCTGGCTCCGTACCTCGCTGTGATCATACCTCATTCATGCATCAGTGCAAGTCTTAATGGAAGTAGAGTGTGTGGCGTGTCCCAGGGGAAGAACTGATCAACGGCAAATAATTAACCCTTCTACCCTTCTGAATGCATGCATTTTTTCTGCCTTATTCGAGGGGGGAGGGGAGAAAACCCAGGGATTTCGAGAAGTTATGAGTCAAAGTGACGCCTGTTTAGCTATCCTTACGTAGAGCGCCGCACTTTACCTTCGGAGCGCTCAAGAGTTCCTTGCTCGGTTCGCGGCCGAGAAAACTTGACTGTTACTGGTGAGGAACCTGAACGCCCTTCCGGCTTTAAGAGCACGTACCAGGATTGGGCGCGCTCCGCTGCTCATCAAACTCGAATGCATATAGGCAGGCGCCGCAATGGGGTTATGTTACGCCCCTTTCCGCTTGAAACGTGCGCGACAAAAGGCGCAACGAGAGCTCCGCGGCACCATTGCAGTAGCGGACCCAGAGCGAGTTAAATGTGGCACTGGAGCAAACTGGAGATTGGTTTATGAAGCTCGTCCCTTCTGTGTCCGGGTCTACTATTCGGTGGATAGCGGCTAAAAGAGAAGGGGTCCTATTGATGAGCGTTGATTGGGTTCCCTTTGCTTTTCTTTCCGTTTACCAGACCACTTCTCTCCTCTGGAATTCATAATTGCACGTTTTCCCATCATCTTATGACCAAGTGCTTATCTTTGCAGTGACGTGTTGAAGTGATCCCAGGTAGCGTAGCTTGTAGCGCACTTGCCCGGACTGAGCGGAGGTCTGCGGGTTTCAGTTCCATCCGGGGCGAAAGTTTTATTCACAACCAAGCACTCTTGTGAAACATTCGCAAGGCGGCCTGCGGCGAAAAGCAGCCGTTCATAATCAAAAATAATTCAGAATCAGGTGGCCCAATATTTGTCATTTCGATGTTTATAGAAAGTTCCTAATTTTAGTTTGCTCCTATTATTACGGTATTATTCTTCTTCGGTATGCCAATACTCAAAGTCATTGGCAACAGGAGCACATTATCTGCGTTGGTTGAGAAATTGGAGGTTCGGTAAGTTTAACTGAGAAGTCTGTAGGGCTTCCCTCAGCTGTAGGCACTGTACTTCTGATACTTTGACGAGGCCTCATTACGTTCTGAATCTGTATTCACCGATGCTCTCAAAAGTTCTCCTTTAGGAACATTGACAGTGTTCGAAAATCGGCTCGACAGTTGCTGGACGGGCGTTCAACCGAATGACACGGAGGTCTGTCCGATAGAACTTTCTCACGATCTCGGCCTTACCTTCCTTGTTCTCAAAAATGAAATTTTCAGGCTCAGCCAGGTATCACCTCGTCCTTCCATACGAAGTCGGCGAAGTGGCAGTGAAGCCCGAGATGGTGACTCTTCTGACGAGGTACATATGTTTTTTCATCTCGGATGAATATCTTGAGCGTATCCCTCTATATGATTATCTGGAAAATGTCTTCCCATTGTTTTGGGAATATCCTTTCTGGGGCTATTCTTCTTCATCTCTAGCAGAGTGACCCTCTCCTAAAATAACCAGCTTTGCGCCTGTCCGTGTACGATTTATAAAACAACCAGTCAGGTTCGATCTTACGTCTTGCCGAGCGAGGCGCGGTGACACTATTTTGTGATATTGAGGAAAGGTTCCTCAGAGGTTGAGAAAGTTCTCGCAAAATTTGGAGAAATTTCACAGTTTCCCCCATCTCGCTTATCTTCAAATAGGGTCAACTTTCCATTGGTACTCCACCAATAAGGGGGTGCGGAGGGGGCGGGAGGTATCATATTTACGTCTTCTTGGAAAATGGCGTCGTATTTCTCTGCAACCCTCAAGTTTGGAGAACTTTCCGGTAGGTTGATGGGCGGGTTGTGCCAGCGGTAGGGAAGGGGCCTCGTGCGGCCCACCAGGGGAACTGCGTCTTCCAGGTTTAAACAGTATCACGGTCGACCCTAGTCCAGCGAAATTGTCGATCGTCAAAATGAGAGATCAGATGGGGGTGGATTGTGGGAGGGGGGGGGGGAGCTGATGGTGAAATTGCCTGGAATCTTCCACGCGTCACGATCTACTCTGCACAGAATCTATCTGGACGATTTTTGAAGTGTCCCACGGATCGCGCACGAATCTAGGAACATTTTGCGAAGTTACTTACCGCCTTAGCTCTCTTGTGAGAGCTTTCACTCCTTCCTTTTTCTCATTTTCCTGCCTACTTTTATACACAAAACTACGTCTTTCAGGAGACCGGAGCCAATCAAATGCTGAACAACTTCACTATTCGCTCCATCGCGACGTTCATGCGATCGCATTCGGACGTCTACGGTGGCGATTTCGGTCGTGTGAATCTGAGGCGAGGAGACCTGCTGCCTCACAACCACGACACCGTCCGTTCGATGTCATCAGCTACACGTCGCAACACGGAACAGACACAAACACCTCGCTAGAGAGGGCCGAGTTGGCCCAGCGGCTGCTCTGAGCCGTTATGAGGCTCATTTAGCCATGAGGAGATCGCCATGCTTCACGAGTATTTATTTGCCTTACATTTTTCTATGACTTGGCTGTTCTACATAATATTCTAATTTTTGAAAACCTGCTCATAGAAGTTATATTCTTTGAAAACCATGTTCATAGACATTAAATGGAGAGCTAGTATGGTTATACGACTGAAACCAATGATTCGTTTCCTTTTCTCAATAGTGTTTCAAGAATTGCGCAAATCGCCGGTTGTTGCGATCGCTCAGAAATGCGGTGGGATTGGCGATCTCACGGATCGGGCGAAAACTCAAGTGATACCTGTTGCGCTCAGCAAATCGCTTACCGTAAACGTGTAGCTCCCCCCCCCCCCCCCCTGCTTGCCGCATCTACACGGTCAGCTCAACTTTACTGTGCCTTGTCGTAAAGCTATTTTGTACTCCTCGGGAGAGACAGGCACTATCAGGAATCATGATTGCTGAAGGGTGGTGCGCTTTTGATGACGTCAATGAAGGTCTTTGGTGGAATAGATCCGTCAGCACGCTGAAGGATTGGTTCGGGGCAATTGGGACCGCCTCTTA